AAATAACCATGTAATCCTAGTAACTCATCTAAATCAGGTTCCAAACCAAGAGCCCTGTTTTTTTACTCAAGGTCTCACAGCTGGTTAGAGTCCTGGAGCCATCTCCCAGTTCAGAGTTCAAGTCTCCAAGTGGTGACTTGACATTTTCTGACCTCCACACGTGGAAGACTGAACTAAAAGCTCTTAGCCCTATCCTTTGTTACCACTTTAAATCCACCTAATCTCTCTAAGCATTTCCACAAGCCAACCAAATATGAGGAGGGAAGAAGGAGAAATGGGAAGGAAGCCTGTCATGCCTTTTCATCAAGTTCAAGAGATTGCTTCTAATTTAGCGACTCACTGTGGAAAAACTCAGTGTGGCTTTTCTTTAAGTCTAGGCCTCTCCTACCCGTGTTCTTGACCTTGCCTTTCCTCTGCTCTTGTTGCTATATCAAAATCCTTAATACACACACACACACACACAGACACACACACACACACACACACACACACACATAAATATGTGTATAAATATACATATATATTTAAATTCTCTATGTTCATTGGTTCCTTCCCATTAGGCCTGCAAATATGATCATTTTTTCCTTAATAAAAATGTTCCCTTGGCCTTGTTTCCCCTTAAGGTGACCATCATTTCTTTTCCTTAAGGAATTTTTTATAATACATTGTTAGAAGATATTATATTTAAATAGATAAAAGAAGGATGGTATGAGTGGTATGAGATCATATATCATTAAATGACAAAATGTTTACTTTGTAATTTCAGTCTTATAGTGAAAGAGGGGTATATGAAAATAGAGTCATTTGTTGTTCAGGGGGAAAGTGATTTTCACACATTTATAGCTTTCCTCAGTATTAAACTTTTCAGAGGAGCCTGAAATTAGATAAGGATGTCTGTCTATTTGGGAATGAAGCTGAAGGAATTTTTGCAGTGGCAAGAGGTATAATCTAGTAACTAGAATCTAAGCCTTTATGATCTGATGGTATATTTTATAATTCTGTGGTACGGAAGCATATGCATGTGCTTTTTTTCATAACCAAATAAAAGATATAATGTACTTTCAAAAAAGAGCAAATAAGAATACATATAATTCTTATGTCAGTTATCTCTATCCCCAACAGTGATTTAATAGCATTTTTCTTTCCTTACTGATGAAAAATGTTTTTACATATAATATTAATGAGATATATAAATTTGACTGTTCAGTAATTTTGGAAATAATAAAGTCAGTTCTGTCTGTAGTATAGAATCTGTGCTGGCTTATCAGATGCTATACATGTATTTTGGTAGCTCCTCCCCCCCACCCCATGCCAAAAAACTCAACAACCACACCACAAAACCACATGCAACCGCTGTCGGAAAGAGTCCTTTGGGTATTTTTCAGTGTTGGTGGTTCATTTGAAGAAAGAAAAAAGTCACTCTGAATGGTTTATAGAGCTGTCTCTCAGGCATGAAATTCGAGTTGAAGAGCGTGTGGGTATTTGCAGGGAGAACAGGCTGAATATGTGGCCAGAGTGTTCCTCTAAACAGTCCCAGCACCTATAGGTCAGGCTACAGAGAGTAGAGGGCAAGAACGGGGAGAAAGGTCCAACAATGCCGTGCTTATGACTTGAGCACATGTTCCGGTGGCTGCAGCCTCTTTTACCTGCTCCTGGCTTTTTGTTTAGTTTTGTCCTTCTCTGTTCTTCACTTGGGACGTTCAGCTGTGCTCTGAGAGTTAAATAAAAAGCCTGGAATGGAAAAAATGCAAAAGGGAAAAAAAGTGAAGCCTGAGAACAGGCAGATGCAGGAATATATTGAAAACCTTGGCATTTGAGGAAATATGCCTTTATACATCTCTCATAAATATGGAGTCCTCTCTTTCAGTTTTCTATTGCCCTGGGGATGAGCTAGTGCTTTAATACTCTAACATGGGAATGAGAGACAGACAGACAGACAGACAGACGGAGGAAATATCCAGCTTTCTTGTCTCGGATGTGTTGGAAGTATTTTCATTTATAGAATCTTCTGGCAGTTTCTCCTTCTTAAACATGGCTTGCGGGGCGCCTGGGTGGCGCAGTCGGTTAAGCGTCCGACTTCAGCCAGGTCACGATCTCGCGGTGCGTGAGTTCGAGCCCCGCGTCAGGCTCTGGGCTGATGGCTCAGAGCCTGGAGCCTGTTTCTGATTCTGTGTCTCCCTCTCTCTCTGCCCCTCCCCCGTTCATGCTCTGTCTCTCTCTGTCCCAAAAATAAATAAACGTTGAAAAAAAAAAATTAAAAAAAAAAAAAAAACATGGCTTGCTTGACTTGCCTGATACCCACCCCACCTTGTTCTCCCAAGCTTACCTGTTATTGTGGTTTCTGTATTTATGACACATTTAGAATCTTCTGTATTTATGACACATTTAGCCTTAAAAATATGATTGGTTAAGCATCGTCCAAGCGAGATGCACTTTTCTTAGAGAAGATACAGCCTCCTTTGGGAATAGGGCCAGGGATTAAAGCCAGGAGAAAGGAGAATATAGATTTCTAGAAAGAACAGTGGACTGGGAATCAAGAGACTTACCTTTGATTTCCATCAAAACTAACCTGTGGGGCACCTGGGTGACTCAGTGGGTTGACCGTTTGACTCTTGATTTTGGCTCTGGTCATGATCCCAGGGTTGTGGGATGGAGCCCTGAGTCGGGCTCAGTCCCAGAGTGGAGCCTACTTAGGATTCTTTCTCTGCCCCTCTCCCCTGGCTTGCACACCCACTCTCTCTCTCAAATAAAATAAAGTAAAATTAAAACAACAAAAGAAACTAATTCGTGATTTATGACTTTAGCTAAGATATTTATCTTGTCTATAATGCAGTCTCACTGTCTGAAAAGAGTGCATGTGCAGCCCCTCTGAGAACAAACCTAACAGACCTTAGAGAGCATGTTTCTAATTTTGATTTAGAAGCAGTTGGCATGTTGAATGTTCCCTTCTTATGTCACAAGAAGAATCTGGGGATCCTGGGGTTGGGAGGAGTCTCAAGGAGTCTTGTACTTTTTGAACCTCTGGGATGAACCGAAACACTCTGATTTTCCTCATTATTTTCATTATAGCATCTGAATAAGAGACATTGCCACAGAAATATTATGTTTAAGACAACAAGGGAGTTAAGTCAGAAACTTGTTTTTATCTCTTATCACGTAAAGCAGGGCCACATACTGAAATGTTACCTAATAAGGGCCAGTCCAGTAACCAAGAGTGAGGTGATGACGCTGGCTGTCAGATTCTAGGGAGTGGTGGGGACCGTGGGAACGGGAAATGTATACCCTGTGTGCGTGGGGAGGCCACTCCTGGTGTTTAAGACACCACGTGGGCCTGTCAAAACATGCCTCTTAGTGGCAAAGAGCTATTGTTGGCAGTGGGCAATGTCTTATTGAAAACAATAGATTTGTATTATTAGGAATTAAGAATTACATGTTGGAAAATTCACCAATTTGAGTAATAAAATATAGTCCTAGACGATACACATGAGCTGTTTCCCTCAGGTATGTAATTTGTGTGATCTTTCTTCAAAGAGGCTGTCCTCTTTCTACATACTTTAATCCCCTTCCATTCTCCTTAAAAAATGTTTTCTTTCCTCAAGAATGATCACGTCTAGCAAGTTTTCTGTTCTTACATTCTAACATTTTTTCCCCCAGATATGAATGTTGAATGGTTAGCCTTCTACCCCCAACAGATGTCCTTGTTTTGAATATTCCTTAACTATGTTCTAGTTAATTTCACTCCCCGCAAAGAACTTGAGCCATAAGTCTAACCTGAATCCTCACATTAAGCCCCCTTTCTCACACTTTATTGTTAGTGGGCGGAACAGTTGACCAGTGTGATACCCTTCATATTACTCAGTTGAAAATAATTGGGGTTTTTTTGGCACTGAAAGTCTGGAAATTTTATCATGGATTTTGTTTCCCGGTGCTCTAATAATTATCCTGTAATCACTTTGAACTCTCTCCAGTTTGTACACTTAAAAAAAAAAAAAAAAAAAAAAAAAGATTCTGAACTGTACCCAGTCCTTTGGATGGGCTGACCACAATGATAAGACAATACCATTGTCTTACCACTTTTGTCTGAGAGTTAGCAACACGCAACTGGCTCATATTTACTATACACTCTGTGACCTCAATATCTTTTTTCTCCCTACTGGCTCTGTTGTAGTCATACTTTCTTCATATTTTATCCACATAATTCATTTTTCATTTGTAAGTGTGCTATCTTGTACTCACACCGAGTAAGCACTATCTTGTTTTTGATGGATCATTTCTATCTGTGATTTGTCAAGGTTACTTGGAATTCTATTATTTTTCAGAAAAGCTAGAAACCTTAACTTGGTTTGTAGCTATGAAATGACTGACAATGCTTTAAATTCCATTATGACAGCCATTGATTAAAAAAAAAATTCAATCATAATGGACCCAGGAGTCTGGGTGCTGTTTTATAAGTACCCCAAGTGGCATCAAGCCATTTATTTCTGTCGCTGTTAACTAATGGTTTTCCTGTTTCTGGATGTTTTTAAACTCCACAGACATTGTTATCATAATCTCTTGCTTGATTATAGACACTAGATTTGAATGATTAGAAATTCAATCTAGGGGACTGTGGTTGGTGGTAGTGGAGAAAATAAAGCTGATAATTGTTTAATTCATGCATGTAGCTTTGGTAGTAGCATCATTATTTTATATTTTTGGTAGCAAGGTAGGAGAAAATAGGAGAACCCGTAGATAGAGTAGTAATGTCTCTTTCGTGGATATTTTGTTCTGCGTTGGACTTTGAGAATGTCTATGCTTGGATTTAAATTTAATAGCCAGTGTCCTATTAAATATATGAACATAACGAGATGTGTTTTTGTTATTGTCCTTGCAGGTTTCAGAAGATAACAATGAAATGTGAAGAAGTTACATTTCTTACGTGATACTTGAAAGTTAGTGACTGCTTGCCAAATTTTCTGGAAAATTAAATATGACTTAGAAGCATTGATGTATGAAGGTTTATGATGTCATCGGTTGCGACAGAAAGTAAACTCCAGCAGACTGTGAGCCTGCAGGGAGTTGACCCAGAAACATGCATGATTGTATTTAAAAACCACTGGGCACAGGTAATGTATGAGTTCCACTTCCTCTGCTGGCCTAGGTAGCCCTCAAGGTCTCCATCACATTGAACCAGGATTGCCTATCTCTGTGGCACTAACTAAGGCTTCCAGAAGTATAGGGCACGGAAACCCTTTCAGGTGGAAGGGAAAGCAACTTTTTTTTTTCTTTCCTAGAATAGGGATCTGGTTAAAAACCATGGTTGCCATAAAAGCAATTAGGGAACATATATGTTCCTCAGATATTTTTAGAAGAACAGCAATTGGCCTTAAAGTGACTTTTGCATCACTTTGCAGTAGACTTGACCTTGTTTACAAACTCTCTTTCCCTCCTCCCTGATGATTTCCATTTAGTCCTCACATTCCAATAGCACTAAAATACACATTTATGAAATACCTACCAAGTGCTGTGCTGAGTACTTCAAAAGCTTTAAGCTTTATGTCATTTAATCTTCTCCGCAAACCCACAAGGCAGTTAATATTAGCTTCCTCATTTTACAGATGAGGGAATAGAAAATTAGCGATGTTAAATGACTTGCTTGAGGTTATACAAATAGCGAGTTTGCAAGCAAGTGCATAGACCTTGGTCCCTTGACTCGTGTATTTGACCTCTGTGCTTCTACCATTTTTTGGGCTGGTGGTCCCTGTGTAATTTAACAAAAGAAGATGCCTGGCAGTACCTGAATTCATTAGAAAGCTGTTTATAAAAGTTTTCTTGATTATTCGTTTTGACTTCTCTGTAACTCTGATCTGCTCATAGAGATAATTAAGGGTTGAGTGTTCAGAAAATTTATCAGCTCACCACCTTTCCTCGGGGAGTTTGTAAGTAGTAAAATAAATAAAATTGGCCTTCTTTACTACTTGTCCAACATTACACTCCCTAGGTGAGCTGGTAAGTGGCTATTTATGTGACAGTTTTTTAATGACTACCCAGTTCCTTCCTGTGGCCGGACACAGCACAGGGGTTAAAGCACTGAGCCTGCAAATCACAACAATTATAGGGGACACAGTTTAGATCAAAAACAAAATCGATTCTACTTCTGGGTCATTTGCACTTTGTAGCTTCTTGTCATTCATATAAAGCTTCCAAGATTTTTTATGCATTTCCCATTCTCTGACTTTTTACAATTAGAATCATAATGGATTTGCTCTGGATTTTAAGGGCATGTCTGCTTTAGCAAAGGGAAGAAAGTAATTCAGGAGTTTTCCAGATAATTAGAGTAGTTGTCTTTGACTTTGCACTTTTATAAGTATTTTAATGTGCCAGCTCCAAAGTGGGTTTGTGAACCAAGGGGATGTGGCTGTTAGCCCATTGGGTGTGGGAAGAATATTTTAGAAAGCCTATTTTTATTTTTATCTTTATCTTTAATTTAACTTAATTTTATTTTTTTGAGAGAGAGAGGGCAGAGGCGGGGTAGAGGGAGAGGGAGAGAGAATCTTAAGCAGTCTCCATGCCCAGCCCAGAGCCTGACATGGGGCTTGAACTCACAAATGCATGAAATCATGACCTGAGCCGAAGTCAGACACTTAACTGACTTAGCCACCCAGGCACCCCAATTAGATGTTTTATATTAACAGTACTTTCAGCCTCAGTCATTTCACTTGGCTGAAGAACTCCCATCATTCTAGTACGTATTCTTGGCTCTGAGCCCATTTTGTTTATTTGTATAAAAATACTTTTGATTGTAATTGTTCCTGGTGGAGTATCTGTGATGTGGTCCATTTAATATCCATTTATATAGACATGATATATCAACCTCTTGATTTTATGTGGATGGATCATTTGCCCTGTCAAATTCCGTCCTGGGCAAGCTTTCTCCAAAGCTGTTGGAGTGCTGTTAGAGAGTCTTAATTCATGAATTTGTAAATACTCTTTCACACTAGTGAAGGAGTAAATTAGTGGTCCCAGAATCATATTACTCATTTCCCTATCTTATATGAATGACTTCAGCATTATCAGACATTTTGGGTTATCTGAAACATAGTACCCTTTGTTTAGTGCAGAAAATATATATATTTTTTCTTTTCAAAATTTTAAATGTTTATTTATTTATTTAGAGAGAGAGTGAGGGTCAGAGAGAGAGGGAGAGAGAGAGAGAATCCCAAGGAGGCTTCATGCTGTCAGTACAGAGCGCGATGGGGGATCATGACCTGAGCTGAAATCAAGAGCTGGATGTTTAACCAACTGAGCCACCTAGGAGCCCCTCTTTTCAAGTTTTTACTTAAATTCTAGTTAGTTAACATATATTGCAATACTGGTGTCAGAAGTAGAATTCAGTGATTCATCACTTACATAACAACACCCAGTGCTCATCACAAGTGCCCTCCTTAGTACCCATCACCCATGTAGCCCAAGCCCCACCCACATCCCTCCATCAACTCCCAGTTTGTTCTCTATAGTTAAGAGTCTCTTATGGTTTGTTTTCCTCTCTTTCTTTTCCCCTCCTCCCATATGTTCATTTGTTTTGTTTCTTAAATTCTAATATGAGTAAAGTCATATGGTATTTGTCTTTCTCTGACTGACTTATTTCATTTAGCATAATATACTCTAGCTCCATCCACTTCGTGGCAAATGGCAGGATTTCATTCTTTTTTTTTTTTTTTTAATCTGATGGCTGAGTAATATTCCATTGTATCTATATATGCCATATCTTCTTTATCCTAGTGCAGCAGAATATTGAGTTGAGAGTAAGGATAACTTTGTCAGAGGGAATGGTGTTTAGTTATTAAATACTTGCTTTTATAAAGTGGAGACACTCTTTGTTTTATTGTTGTTTCAACCATTTCTTTAACTTTCTTACCTCTTTAGCCTTGACTTTTCCTTTTAAATAAACCTGCAAAGTGCCCACAGTGTCTATTTACTTCCAAGAAAGGCTCTTGAGGACCTTTCTGTTGCATTTCTTCACGTTGAAGAAATGCATGTGAATGTCAACACAATTATTGTTAAATGGAGATTTACCAAGCCCAAACTGCGGATACATTGGTATAGTGGGCACAGGTGGACATGGGAATGTGTAAGCCTTGGTCTGAGCTTTCAAAGAATGTATATGCTGGGATACCTGGGTGGCTCAGTCGGTTGAGTCCGACTTCAGCTCAGGTCATGATGTTGTGGTTCACGAGTTCAAGCCCTACATCGGGCTCTGTGCTGACAGCTCGAAGCCTGGAGCCTGCTTCAGATTCTGTGTCTCTGTCTCTCTTTGCCCCTCACCCCTCATACTCTGTCTCTCTGTCTCTCTCAAAAATAAATAAACGTTTAAAAAAATTTTTAAAAATGAAGAATGTATATGCTAATTTGGATGACAAGGTGAGATACATGATTAGAAAATGAATAATATTACTACAGGAATTAAATCAAAGGAAGGGACTATTATGGGTGAAAGTGGCTTGGGAAATGGAGGAGGTGAGATTTTTGCTAGCTTGACTATAGGAAAGGAAAGTTTTCTTGACAAAGGAAAACAATGTTTTGGAGAAGATGTTGGGAAGAAATGTTCAGCTTTGGCTTTTCATGGTGATAAAAAAAAAAAGTGAGGAAGTTAGGGCAAAGTGGACGTGCAAGGCTGACTCAGGTAAGGAATGAGAGATTCAGTTGATAGGAATAAATGAGACTCATTTCAGAGTTTTGTACATTAGTACTTTGTTGTGAGTTGTGCAGTGTGGAGGTACATGTGGAAGGGTTGCAGAGGATTGGGAAGTGAGCTAAAGCCTGACATAATCTCCTGTGACTAGTGTGACAGCAGCTCCTGGGTTCCCCTGAGGCCATCCAAGGAACCTGTAAGGCTGGTAAGAAATGTGGCATAGTCAGAACTGGGTGACAACATTGTGTTTACCGAAGTGCCCCAGCAGCTGGCAAGCATAATACTTTTTATCTGTTAAATTAGGGAAAATGAAGTCAACAGACATCCGTGGTATCCAGAGTTCTTCTGTTTGTTAGGATACTTGAGTACAAATTCAGCCTAATTAACATGTATTTGGCAGTTTCTGTTCCAGGCCTTGAGTTACAAAGCAAACTCTGATGGAGGAGGCTATCCGCTTGCCCACCTACACGCTGCAGTCTGTCAGGGACAGCTTGTCACACAACCAGCCATCATCCACGGCAGTCTGTGATTCAGGAAGGTTGCCAGTGGAGAGATCTTGCGTGGCCCAGTTGTGCACTTGAGTTTCCAAACTGTTCCCTGGGCCCAGTGATGTCATGACATCCCCAGAATAGTTCTTTAGGGGACATTCGGCAGGTGACATTGCTGACAGTGAATCCAGGCCATAGGAAGCAGCCTCTGGCTTGTACTTTCTCTCACTTTCTGAGATGCCGTCTTGCACTGTCATGTTGCCAGAGCAGTGACTCTAAAACCCCAGATTTGCCCGTGTCAGTTTTCTAGTTGGACATTTCAGTGGCATCCGGGCACCTACAGGCCAGCACGTCACACAGGGCCTTTATGGTCTGGCTTCATTTCACTCCCTGTCTCTGATTTATTCTCTAGAGATGGGAAATTACTTGGAGTTCCTAGCCAACCCCACTCCTAGGCAGTGGCCTTCATGCTATTTCACGCTTCTCTGCTTTAGGCATTTCCTCCTCTTCCTGCCTGGAATATCCCTCCCCCTGGTTAAATGCCTCTCCTTCTTAAAGACTCTTTTGGGACATCAGTTTTTCTAGGAAACCTTCTCTGCTCTCTTTTATGCTTCCACTCTGTGCTCCAGCAGCATCCTGAGTGTTCTTTCTCTGTTATACCAGCCACATTTTATTAAGATTATGTGTGCAGTAGTTTCCTTCCACCCTCATTTCAAGCTCCTCATGATCAGAGACCATTTATAGTTGACCTACATCTCCAAGTGCCAAGAATAGCGTAGCCCCACTGTTGTAGATATTCAATAAATTGTTGAACTGCGAGATAGGAACATTGTATGAAGTACAACTTTAGAAGAGCTAGGTGACTTAGAAAACAGCTTTGAACATACATTAGTATTAAAACATTCTATAATTTTGTAGGAAGGTCTTTGGACTTCTATTTAATTAT